GGGGGGGGAGCCCCCCCCCCAGGACCCCCGGCCCCTCCCCCCGCCAAGAAGCCGCGCTCGGGGTCGGGCAGGACGAGGGCGAGGGGGAGGGGGAAGGGGAAGGGGTAGGCGGCCACCAGGCGGGGCCCGAAGGGCACCGGGAAGGCGGGGGGGGCCGGGGGGACGCGGGGACCCCCCCTCGGTGTCCCCCCGGCGCCGTCCCCGAGCTCGGGGTCCCCCCCCCCGGCCCGGCAGAGCAGCGCCAGCGGCTGCTCCTGCACCGGGAACCCCCCCGCGCCGCCCCCCGCCCCGCCGCCGGTGTCACCCGCGGGCGGCGGCTCCGGCCCGGTGACCCCGGGGGGCGGCGGGACCCCCCCTTTATCCGCCGGGGTCTCCTCCCTGCCCGCGGCCGGCGGGGTGTAGGCGATGACAGTCGGCGGGGCCGGCGACCGCGCTGGCGACCCCGGTGGCGACCGCGGCGGCGACCCCGGCCGTGACCCCGGCGGTGACCCCCGTGCTGACCCCCGCGGTGACCCCGGCCGTGACCCCCGCGGTGACCCCGGCGGTGACCCCGGGCGGTGGCGCTGGGCGTGGCGGCTGAGCGCGGCCGCCGTCTTGCACACCTTGGCGCAGGTGGGGCAGGCGAAGCGCAGCGACGGCCGCCGGCCCACGCGGCCCGTCCCCGCCGTTGTCCCCGCCGCCGCCGTCCCCTCGTGTCCCCGCTGGTGCTTTCGCAGCTTGCGCAGCGCCGGGAAGCTCTTCCCGCACACCCGGCACGCGTGGTGCCGCTCCCGGCGGCGCGGCGTCGAGTCGCCCTCGCCGTCGTCGCCCGGCGCCCAGCGCAGCGAGCGCAGCTTGCGCCGCCAGCGCGGCTTCTTGGCCGCGGGGGTCGCGCCGGGAGCGGCGCCGGGGGTCGCGGCGGCGCCGCCCGCCTTCCTCTTGGGCTTGTAGGAGTAGTAGGGCCGCCAGAGCCGGTCCTCGGCGTCGCTGTCGTCGTCCCCGCGCCGCGCCTCGGCGCCGTCGCCGCGCAGGTCGGTGCCGGAGATGCGGCGCTTGACGATGGCCTCCTCGCCGATGCGCACGGTGATCTGGCACAGCCCCTCGCCCGCCGCCGAGCCCGCGTACGCCGGCTTGGCCACGTAGGTCATGGTGCGGCCGGAGCCGCCGCCGGAGCCGCCGGAGCCGCCGCCGGCGGGGTTTTGTGGGGCGGCGCTGCCCTCGGTGGCCGCGGCCGCGGCCGCGCGCTGCGCCTCGATGTAATCGCGCAGCACCTGCTTCTTGATGGGCACCGCCGGCGTCACCGGCGCGGCCGCCGGCGCCTCGGGCAGCCCCGGCGCTTCCTCGCCCGCCCGGCCGTTGTAGGCGATGACCGAGGCCGCGCCGCTGCCGCCGCCGCCGCCGCCGCCGCCGCGCACGATGACCGACGGTGCGGCGCGGCCGTAGGCGATGACCGAGGCGGGCTCCGGCCGCGGCGCGGGGGGATAGGCGGCGCCGGCGGCGTCTCCCGGCGCGGCCGGCGGCGGCAGCGCCCCGTCGGGCACCGCGCCCTGGCTGTAGGTCTTGTAGGGCCGCTTGTGCGCCCGCATGGGCAACAGGCGGTAGAGCTTGAGTGCGTTGAGCTTGGGCCGGTAGCCGCCGTTGGGCGTCTTCTCGGAGGCGATGAGCCCCGGGCTGATGCCGTGGAAGGCTTTTTGGTGCGTCTTGAGGTTGTAGTAGGTGACGAAGGTGTCCCAGCAGAAGATGCACTGGTAGCGGCGCTCGCCCGTGTGCCACACCTCGTGCTTGGTGCGGTACTCGGCCAGCGCGAACACCTTGTCGCAGTAGCGGCACGGGTACTTGCGGCGCCACGAGTGGACGTTGGCGTGGCGCTTGAGGCTGGACAGCGTCATGTAGGAGCGCTGGCACACCCCGCACAGGTACAGCACCTGCCCGTCCACCACCTTCACCAGCGGCTCCTGCTCCGCGCCCGGCTCCAGCGCGCGGTGTCGCAGCAGCAGCGCCTTCTTGGCCGCTTTCGGCGCCGCCGCGGCGCCGGTGCCGGCGGCGGCGGCGGCGGCGGCGGCGTTGTTGTCGTCGCCGTCCCCGTCGCGACAGCCGACCTCGTGCGTCTGCAGGCGCTTGACGTGGATGAAGCTCTTGCCGCAGTGGCGGCAGCACAGCCCGCGGCGCCCGCGGTGCAGCTTGGCGTGGAAGCCCAGCGCCGCCGCCGAGCTGAAGCCGCGCCCGCACAGCCCGCAGCGCAGCGACGCCGACGGGGGCGACGCCGGCGACGCCGGCGAGGGCGGCGCCGTCCCCGTGTCCCCGCCGGCGGGCGCCGTCTCGCCGCCCGCCGCCTCGCCGGGCCGCGCCGGGCAGGTGAGGTCCACGGGGGCCGCGGGAGCGCGGGGGTCCCCCGCCGGCCCCGCCGGCGCAGGGGGGGTCCAGCTGCCGTTCGCGTCCCGCGGCGGGGGCCCGGCCTCCAGCCCCTGCAGCGAGGGGATGCCGAGGCGCCGGCCCACGGCCCCCAGCGCCCGCGCGGCCGCCGGCGACGGCACGGCCAGGCGCGAGTTGTAGATGAAGTTGAGGACGTCGGAGAAGACGCCGGCCTGGACGCCCGGCAGCTCCAGCACCTGGGCGGGCGAGGGGCAGCTGGGCTCCTGGGCCAGCGCCCGCTTGAAGAAGGGGCTGGAGGCGGCCAGGACGTTTTTATGGGCGCGGAACTTGGTGTCCTCGGCGATGATGGTGACGTCGCAGAACTGGCCCCGCAGGCGCTGCTCGTTCAGCTCCAGCAGCAGCGCCCGGCAGTGCCCGGCGTCCGACACCTCCACGACCGGAGCCATCCCCGCGCCGGCCACCTGCGGGGGGACACGGGCGCCGCGATTTGGGGCCACCCCGGTCCTTCCCGGGTGGCCGGAGGGACAACGGGGTTCCATTTCCGGGGTCACCCGCGTGGCTGAATCCTTTACTTGGTGGCACCTGGGCGGGCGGGGCCCCTACCTGGGGTCACCCAGAACCCTGGATCGCTATTTGGGGTCACCTGGGTCCCAGATTTGGGGTCACCTGGCCCCCGGTTCACTATTTGGGGTCACCTGGGCCCTGATTCGCTATCTGGGGTCACCTGGGTCCCAGATTTGGGGTCACCCAGACCCCTGGATCGCTATTTGGGGTCACCCAGACCCCTGGTTCGCTATTTGGGGTCACCTGGGTCCTCTCTGTGGGGCACGGAGATACCTTGGCCCCATATTTGGGGTCACTCAGACCCTGGTTCGCTATTTGGGGTCACCTGGGTTCCTTATTTGGGGTCACCCAGACCCCTGGTTCGCTATTTAGGGTCACCTGCATGGCTGGATCCCCTATTTGGGGTCACCCACGCCCATTTTTGGGGTCACCCAAACATCCAGTTCTCTATTTGGGAGGCTTCAGGCACCTGGGCCCCAGATTTGGGGTTACCTGCACGGCAGAGTCCCAGATTTGGGGTCACCCAAACCCCTGGTTCACTATTTGGGTTCACCTGGGTCCCAGATTTGGGGTCACCCAGAGCCCTTGGGGTGACCCGTGTCCCTTCTCTGGGTGGGGTTCCCCGATGCTGTGGGTCAGAGTCCCTGGGTTCTGTGGGGTGGGGGGTCCTGGAATTCTCTGGAGCTGTGAGGTCGTGACCGGGGGTCCCCCAGATCACTCCGGGTTTGGGGTTCCCGGGGGGTCCCTGTGGGGTTTTGGGGTCACTCCGGGGTTTTGGGGTCCCCCTGTCCCGGGGGTCCCTGTGGGGTTTTGGGGTCCCCGTGGGGTTTTGGGTCCCCCTGTCCCGGAGGTCCCTGTGGGGTTTTGAGTCCCCCTGTCCGGGGGTCGCTGTGG